TCCTCTTCTCCCCTGGGAGGCGTCGCGAGAGCGCGAAGTTATTCGCACTTCGCGCTTCGCGCAGCGCGAAGCGCGAAGTTAGGAGGCCTTGATATTGTCTTATTCTGATTGATCTGGTTTGAGCTTCCGGCCCCTGGGCATCCCGACCCCTTCCCTGCGGCCCAGGGGCAAAAGCTCGGCCCGGCGCCGACGCGGAGGCGTCACGGCTGGCCGCGGTGCGGGGAGGGGGTACCTGTAAGTCGGGCCTGTCCCTCTACAGGGGAATATTCAAAAATAGTCAAAACACAGTCTGGGGACTATTTTTTAGTATTTGTCGACCATCTTGGAGCATTTTTGGGGTATTCTTTATTTTTCGTCGAAAATCCTCCTGTAGGGGTACACGCCCGACTTAAAGGTACCTTGCTGTCGCGTGTCAGCTCTTGTCCCCGGGGTTCTACCAGTGCCGATGTGTGCCGTGTGCTTTTTCTGAGTTTGGGGAGACGGGGCCCGCGAGGAAAGGGCTCCCGACCGCTCTCGCCCACTTCGGGCTCCCGGGGGAACCTCCGCAGGCCACGGGGCGTCGAGCAGCGACCCGTGGCCCAGGGGAGGGGCCGGGGGGGATCGGGGGGCTTGAGCGGAGTCGTCGGCGGCACGGGCCTCGCCGCAGGCCCCCCCCCCTCTCTGTGACGCAGCGAGTGCCACGGATGGCGCCCGGTGCCCCTGCGGAAGACCTGGCCCGCACGGCCTGGGCTGGGGAGGATGAGGAGGAGGAGGAGGAGGAGGAGGAGGAGGAGGAGGGGGAGGAGGAGGAGGGGGAGGAGGAGCGCGGGCGCCGCCGACGAGGGGGGGGGGTCGCCCGCCTCGGCGCCGGCCGGCGGCCGCTCCGCCGCACGCCTCGGCGTGTGCTCGGCCCCCCGCGGGGGGCAAGCGGGTTGTGCTCGACGCCAAGAACACGCTGATCAGGGAGGCCGCGTCCGCGCGGCCGCCTCTCGCGGCCTCCCCGCGCGCGCGCCGCGCGCGCGTCGCGCGCGCGTCGCCGCGCGCCCTGGGGCTGGAGGGGGGGGGGCGGGGCGGGTCGCCACGCTGCAGGGCAGGTCGAGCGGGCGGTGCTCTGAGCGGGGGCGGGGCGGCGGCGGCGGTGACGACGGCTCGTCTGTTCTCGGCGGCTTGCTCGCCGTGGGATGCTTCCCAGCAGTGGCGCCTCATCGAGCGCGTATTGGGCTGTGCCTGAGTCGTCCCGAGCGGCCGCCCGAGGCCCGAGTGATGACCCGCAAGCCGCATCTCCGACGATATGTTTTTGTTCAATCCCTTGATGGTGGTCTGGTGTTCTCTGCTGGGTAACCGTGGCGTGTGCAGTCCTCTCTGTGGCCTGCCGCGGTGAATGCCGGTGACTCCGCATCAGGCTCGCGCGATCAATTTAGCCTAGCTTGTCAGGGCAGTGGTCGTCAGTGAACTTGAGGACGATACTAGTGAGATCACCCTCGTGGAGTAGTTGGAGAGGAGAAGGAGCAGGTTCGAACTTCTTCTGAGTAGGAGAGGAGAAGGAGACAAGCAGAGTGAGTCATGGCTACGGCCACTTCTGCGAAAAATGTGTTGCCCTCCCAGGGATGCACTTTTCTAATGGAACTTCTAAATGTCGGTTCAGTGACCGCGCCAAGACATATAGCTTGTGTTCAAGATGAGATTTCTAGCGTTATTGCTGTCAGTTCCTGCTACTCGTGCGCATGATTATCCCGCCCCCCTCGCAGAAGAGGAGGGGGCCACCTCCTCCTCTTCTGCGTCGTCCTCTCCCCCTCCTCCTCTGTCCCCCTCCTTCTCCTCCGCCTCCTCCTCCTCCTCTTCCTTCTCCTCCTCTTCCTCATCCTTCTCGTCGTTTGCCTTCTCGCTCTTCTCCTCATCTTCCTTCTCTCCCCCCCCCCTTCAAAACAATTCACCCCCTGGACTTGATTCTGGGGTGCGTTCCCGGTAGAATCTCGACGCGGATCCAACCGTGGCCGCGAGGGTGCCTCGAGGAGGCCCACCAAGCGTTATAAGCCGTCCGAACACATTGAGATTGGATCCTTCTATCTTTTCCCTGCTTTTTGACGCTGCACAGACCTGGATCAGAGATCGTTGCGCTCTGGATGTGCAGACAAGTACTATCTCTTCCTGCTCCTCCTCCTGCTCCTCCTCCTCTGGCGGCCCCGGGAGGTCTTCACAGATCCCTGGAGGTCTCTTGAGGCCCCCTGTAGCTTTTTAAGTCGGGCGTGTCCCTCTACAGGAGAACAATTCAAGAACAGTAATCAATAGTCTGGTGACGATGGTTCGGTTTTTTGGCGACTTGTTCCCAACCATCCTGTGGTGGTTGTGGGTCCTCTTTTTGAAGAGACAGCGCCTAGCGTCTCCTTCCTCCCCTCTCTTCTCTTCTCCACTCCTCCCTTCTTCTCCCCTCGCCTCTGCCCTCCGCATGTTTCCGTTTCGGCATACCCAATACAGCCCTTCGTGGCCCCATAGGGAGCTCCATTGAAGGCCACATTGGCATGGTTCGCATGCAGTTCCACCCTCATTCCGGCGCATCCCTAACACGGTTCGTGGCCCCATAGGGAGCTCCACCGAAGGCCCCAGCGGCAGGGGTTCGCATGCAGTTCCGCCCTATTTCGTTACCCCTCTCACACGGTTCGTGGCCCCATAAGGAGCTCCACCGAAGGCACCAGCAGCAGAGTTCCCATGCAGTTCCACATTCTCGGCGCACCCCTCACACGGTCCGTGGCCCCATAGGGAGCTCCACCGAAGGCCCCAGCGGCAGGGTTCGCATGCAGTTCCACCGTCATTTCGGCGCACCCCTCACGCGATTCGTGGCCCCATGGGGAGCTCCACCGAAGGCCCCAGCGGCAGGGTTCGCATCTAGTTCCGCCCCCATTTCGTTGCCCTTCTCACACGGTTCGTGGCCCCATAGGGAGCTCCACCGAAGGCCCCAGCGGCAGGGTTCGCATTTAGTTCCGCCCCCATTTCGGCACACCCATCACACGTTTCGTGGCCCCATAGAAAGCTCCACCGAAGGCCCCAGAGGCAAGGTTCGCATGGCGGCCCCGCCCCATTTCGGCACACCCATCACATGTTTCGTGGCCCCACAGGGAGCCCCACCGAAGGCCCAAAATGCATGCGGTTACCTGCCCCATTTCGGCACACCATTCAAACGGCTCGTGGCCCCATAGGCAGCTTCACCGAAGGCTATACTGGCAGGGTTCGCATGACGGTTCCGCCCCATTACAGTCCCCTCGCACGTTTCGTGGCCCCATAGGGGACTCCACCGAAGGCCCTAGTGCAGGGTTCGTATGGAGGCCCCGCCTCAGTTCGGCACACACCCCGCAAGCTTCGTGGCCCCATAGGGAGCTCCCACTGCAGGCTTCAGCGGCAGGGTTTGCATGGCGGCGTCGCCTCCATTTCGGCACACTCCTCATACGCCTCGCGGCCCCAGATAGAGCTCCACCGAAGGCGTCAGTGGCAGGGTTCGCATGCCTTCCTCTGCCTATTTTGACACACCCCTCACATATTTCGTGGCCCATAGGGAGCTCCGCCGAAGGCCCCCAGTGGCAGCGCCCGCGCGCGTCCCTCAGCCCACTTCGGCACACCCCGCTCACGTTTCGGGGTGTCCATCCGCGTTGCCCCGTGCTCCATCCCTCTCGCGGCGCGCTGCTTATGATGAGAAGGTGATATCCTACGTTACTCGCAGCTGCATCTGGTTGGGTCCTTCGCCAGGCTAATGTATGTTTGCTATTCTGAGCTGTTCTTCCAAAGTCCGCCTGTAGGAAGACATGCCCGAACAACAGGTGCAGCATCTTCCGGGAAACCTCCGGCACCACCTTCCTGCTCTCCCTTCTCTTGGCCGCGCCCGTGTGCGCTCCCCTCCCTGCTCCTGCACCACCCCCCCGCCGAACCTCGCGCGCGCTGCGCCTACGCGCGAGTCGGCGGAGATTTTGCAAGGGTGCCCTCGAGGGCGCGAAGTTATTCGCGCTTCGCGGTTCGGCTCCGATCCCTCTTCATCCTGCTCTTCTCCCCTGGGAGGCGGCGCGAGAGCGCGAAGTTATTCGCACTTCGCGCCTCGCGCTCCGCGAAGCGCGAAGCTGGGAGCCCTTGGGTTCGTTCTCCGAGGCTGTCTCTCGGGCGGCTGGGGGCCTGCGGGGCCCCAGGCCTGTGCGTGGGCCGGCCGTGCGGTGAGGATTTTTTTTGTCTGGGGACTGGAGGTCACCGCACGGCCTGTCTCCGCACAACTTCGGGCCCCCCCCCCTGCATGAGCCCAAGACAGGGGAACAAAAAGGGGCATAAGCATAACAACTCGGAGGTCCGCGCGGATTTCTCGGATCGGCGTTGGACCCCCTTCCCTGGCGCGCGGAGCGCGCCAGGGGTGGCGCCGGAGGCGCCGCCAGGAGAGTCCAGCGCCGATCCGAGGAGTCCGCGCGGACCTTCGAGTTTTTATGTTTATGCCACTTCTTCAGGAGGGAAAAAACACACAGACACAATGAATCGTCGATTCCCCAGCAAATATAGGAAAATATGGGAAGTGGGGGGGAAGACAAAAACCAAGACCCGCTGCACGAGCCCACGAGCGGCGGGCCGTGCCCCCTGACGTCCTCGGGCCGCGGCTTCGTGGCCGTCGTGGGCGGGACCGCCGTCAGCGACCAGCGGGGGAGCGGGGACGTGGGGCGGGGCCGTGGGGCAGGAAGGGAGCCACCTATAGTTATGTCGGGCGTGTCCCCCTACAGGGGGATTTTCGACGAAGTACCAAAAACATAAAAAATACCTCCAACAGGTCCAACAATATTAAAAAGATAGTCCCTGGACTATGTTTGGATTAATTTTGAATGATGTTTGGTGTATTTTTTATTTTTCGTCGAAAATCCCCCTGTAGGGGGACAGGCCCGACATACACCTATAGGAAGATGAGTGAGAGGGCGAGGAACTGGAGGCACCAGTGCCACTGCGCCCCGCGTCGCAGCTAGCCGTGGCCCAAATCGGTCGCCCCGACCTCGCAGCCCGTTGGCATGCAGGCGGGATTGTTATCGGCCGCCAACACCGCCTCGAGGACACGTGGGAGCGGGGCGTCAGACCGTGCGCGCTGGCGAGGGGGCGCTCGCTGGGTTTGCCCGGACCTCTCCCGTGGTTGTGTGCGCGTCTGTGTGGTTGCACATAATATATGTATGTATGTATGCATCTCTCTCTCTCTCTCTCTCTCTCTCTCTCTATATATATATATGAGTACATGCATACAGATGGACATTGCCATATGGCTGTATTTGTGCATGTCGGTGAATCTGTGTATACCCACATCTGTATATATATAGATATATATAGGTGTTGTGTGTGGCGTGTTTGTGTGTGTGCGTGTGTGTTTGTGTGCGTGCGCGCGTGTGTGTGTGCGTGTGAGTACGCGTATATGTGTGCGTGTGCGTGTGCGTGTGCGTTTGCGTGTGCGTGTGCGTGTGCGTGTGCGTTGTGTACGTTGGTTGTGTTGTGTGTTGTGTGCTTGTGTGGTGTGTGTTGTGTGTTGCGTGTGGTGTGGGTTGTGTGTTATGTGTTGAGTGTTGTGCGTGTTATGTGTGTTGGGTGTGTGCTGCGTGTGCTGTGTGTGTGGGTTGTGGGTTGTGTGTGTTGTGTGTGGTTTGTGTGTACTGTGGGCTGTGTGTGTTGTGTGTTGTGCGTGCTGTGTGCTGTGCACTGTGTGTGATGTGTGTGCTGAGTGTGGTGTGTGTGTGTGTCGTGTGTTGTGTGGTGTGAGTGTTGTGTGTGTATTGTGTGTGCTGTGCGTGGTGTGTGTGTTGTGTGTGTTGCGTGGTGTTGTGTGTGGTGTGTATTTTGTGTGTTGTGTGTTGTGTGCGTTGTGTGGATTGTGTATTGTGTGTACTGTGTGTGTGTGGGTAGTGTGTGTGTGTTGTGTTGTGTGTTGTTTGTTGTGTGTGTTGTGGGTGTTGGGTGTGTTGTCTGTGCGTCTGTGTGTCTGTGTGTGCGTGTGTGTGTGCGTGTGTTGCTGCGTCGGCGGTCTCGCCCGACAGGTACGGGTGTTCTCGCTCTCGCTCTCTCTCTCTTTCTCTCTCTCTCTCTCGCTCTCTCTTTCTCTCTCTCTCTCTCTCTTCCTTTCTCTCTCTATCTCTCTCTCGATAATGTGTCGCTTGTGGGTCTTGCGATATCGACGTGTCATTGCGTCATTTGCGTGCAGGAGGGCGTGGGCCCAGAGGGACAAATCAAATGGCCGTCGGCCCATCCCGCCACCGTGCCTGGGTTTGGGGCCTCTTGGGGCCTCCTGGGCCCCCTTGGGGCCTTTGGGGTCCTCTTGGGGCGGAAAGCTAAGACTTTCGGTTCGTGTTCCCTTTTGGGCCGTCTTGGGGCGCTCTTAGGCAGTCTCAGTGCCCTATTGGAGGTCTATTTGGCCATTTTGGGGTGGTCTTGGAGGCCTCTTGGGCACGCCGAAATCTTTCAACCACCTACGGCAACTCGAGGACGTGTGCCTCCTGGGGCCCTCTTGGCAGGCCTCTTGGAGCGTCTTGCAGGCCTCTTGGGCAACACAGTAGGGGTCTTGAAGAAGGAACCCTTTTCGTTGGGGAGGGGCTCCGTGTTCCTTGATTGTTTCACAGCTTGCCTCAGGTTTTCCTTATGCTTTCGATCGGAAATCGAAGTTCAACCTATGGAAAATAGGGGCCTCGTTCCTTGTTTAGGGTTTCTTAGGTCAACGCCCCGACTGTACTGGGGCCATCTCGGGCGTCTTTGGAACGACGTTTCGGCGACGCGTCGCTCTCTTGGGCCGCCTGGTCGGCCTCCTGGGGCCCCCTCGGCGCCCGTCGTGGGGCCCCCCCCCCGGGCCCCAGCAGCATGCCACGCGACAGGGAGCGGGGGAGCCCAGGGGCGCGCGAGAAGCGCCGCCTGATGTTGGAAGTTGGCGTCTGGGCCCCTCTTGCAGACTCCTCAGAACTGAGGGCTGAGGCTCCAGGGCTTGGGCCAAGGAGGGAGAAGGGAGGAGGGAGGAGGGAGGAGGGAGGAGGAGGAGGAGGAGGAGGAGGAGGAGGAGGAGGAGGAGGAGGAGGAGGAGGAGGCGGAGGCGGAGGAGGAGGAGGAGGAGGAGGAGGACACGCCCCATCCGTGCCCAGAGGCACGGTGGCGTATATGCTGGAATGCAGGCTCGTCTTGAAGACTGTTATCTGCTATCCTCCATTCGTGTTTGTAGTCCTGTGGAAGTGTTTGGAGGCTCGGGTGTCCGTGGACGGCGGAGCGGTTTCATAGCGCATGGTCTGGGCATGTTTTTTGTTCTGGGGGAGGTTGGTTTTCGGTAGGCCCGAGATGCCTGTTGCGTTGGCGACGGCTCTTGCGCATCAACAAACAAACAGACAGACAAGCAAACAAACAAGCAAGCAAACAAACAACCAAGCGCGGGGGATGCCGCCATCTTGGGGCTGGCGAAATGCCCGAAGGGAACACGTGAAATCAACGATTGCGGCCGAGTATCGCCAGAATATTGTTCGTCGCAGGTGGCGTTCCCTTCCCTCATGCCGTGATGTCTCAGCCTCCCGTTCCTCGAGGATAGATTTGTGGACACGTTTATTCGATCCAGTTGTCGATCGGTTATGATTTACGTTCGTATCCTCATCATCGCCCGCATCGCCCGTGGCGATCACCCACTGCGTTGCGTTGCATGTGATGTACTGTGTGTTCGATAGTGATAGTGCAAGTACTTTGCGACTGGTTCCGCCGAGAGGAGTAGACTGTTTGGGCGCAAGAGGCAGCAGTGACACAGGGGGCAAGGGGCAGTGGTGGCTTTCATGCGAGGGCGAATTCTCGTGGTCATCGGCCCATCCCGCCACTGCGCCTGGGTCGTGTTCCAGAGGCATTGTGTTCCAGGGGCCTTTGGCGAGCTTCTTGGGGGGCGTTGTGGCCCACTTTGGGCGTCTTGGGGCCTCCGTTGGGTCACAGGCGGTCTTTGGATCATGTTGGAAGGGTTGGCTTCAAGCGGCAGCGGTGCGACAGTGGCGTGTGTGTGGGGGGCCAGTCTATGGGCCGTAGTTGGGGCCCCTCGGACCGCTGTTGGGGGCCTCTCGAGACACCTTTAGTTGGTGTCGTGTGGGTTCTCTGGCAGTCTTGGACGCTATCGCAACCGACGCGACGAGACTGCGCAGAGCACACAAACAAGAAACTTGAGGGGCTCTGCCAATTGTGGGGCCTCCTGGGTCAGCCTACCAGGGCCTCCATGACGGCCCGCGAGACTCCCAAGAGTGCCCAGATTGGCCGCGAAAGAGTTCCAGCGGGCCTGCGGTCGCGAACCTTAGGATTTGGTCGGGCATGTCCTCCTGCAGGCGGGCTTTGGAAGCAACTTATCTTGGCGAAGGACCCAACCATATGCATTTGTGGGTACCGCAAGTGTGAATATTTTCTTCGGTGAAGCACATGCGTCCGCCACACCCAGTACAGCGCTTCGTGGCTCCATAGGGAGCTCCACCCAAAGCCCCAGTGGGGGGGGGGCACATGCGTCCGCCACACCCAGTACGGCGTGTCGTTGCCCGGGGGACCGCCCGCATGCGTCCCGCACATGCAATTTGACAGCTTCACCCACCCAGTACAGCGCTTCGTGGCTCCATGGGGGGGCCCCACCGAAGCCCCCCCAGTGGGACCGCCCGCATGCGTCCCGCACACGCAATTTGACAGTTTCACCCACCGAGTACAGCGCTTCGTAGCCCCAATGGGTGGAAATTCCAAATTGGGTGTGTGGGACACATGCGGACGGTCCCACTGGGGGGTTCGGTGAAGCTCCCTATGGGGCCACGAAGCGCTGCACTGGGTGGGTGAAAATGTTAAACTGGGCTTCCCGCGCGCATGCGGGCCGTCCACTGGGGGCTGCGGTGGAGCTCCCTATGGAGCCACGAAGCGTTGTACTGGGTGGGCGAAAATGCCAAATTGGGTGTGCGGGACGCATGTGGGCGGTCCTTCCACTTGGGGTTTCGGTGGAGTTCCTCATTGGGGCCACGAACAGCTGTACTGGGTGGATGAAAATGCCAAAGTACGTGTGCGGGACGCACACGGACGGTCTCACTAGGGGTTTCGGTGGAGCTCGATACCCCCCACTGGGGCCTTAGGTGGAGCTCCCTATGGGGGCCACGAAGCGCCGTACTGGGTGTGCCAGACGCATGTGGTACGCCCCCCCCCCCGGGGCTTCAGGTGGTGTTCCCGATGGGGCCACGAAGCGCCGTACTGGGTGTGGTACCCCCCCCCCGGGTGCCTTAGGTGGAGCTCCCTATGGGGCCACAAAGCGCCGTACTGGGTGTGACGGACGCATGTGGTACCCCCCGCTTTGGGGCTTTTGTATGGGGTATTGGGTGTGGCGGACGCAGGGAGGGGGGAGGGGGAGTGAGTGGGTGGGACGCGGGGCGCTGTCTCTCCAAAACGAGGACCCAACACCACAGCATGGTTGGGAAAACATGCAGAAATTATCAAGCATGGTCAAGCAATCGTCCCAAAACTAATGCTTACAATCTTTCAATACTCCCCCTGTAGAGAAACATGCCCGACTTACCCTTGGGATGGCGTGTCGCTCGGCCAGTCCTGCCCCGCCGCGCTTCTTGGCGTGACACGGTCTCCACTACCGGGTCCCCGGGTTTCAGCGTCCCCCGCCGGTCCGAGCTTCCCGCCCCGCGGAGCGGAGCGGCACGCTCTCCGCTCGCAGGGCATGGCGTGTCGCCTGGGCCGCTGCCGCGGCAGGCTATGCAAAAGTTTCCGACCGTAGGCCAAAATGGACAGGAACGTGGAAGGCCCCCCCCCCAGGGACCTCTCCCCGAACCTCCGCCCCCGGACACATCCTCGTCACCCCCTGGCGGGGAGGGCGCAAAGAAAGAGGCCTCGGGCTGGCGAGCTCGAGGAGCCCAAGGTGGCCGCAGGGGAAGTGGAGGAGAGCTCCGAATGGAAAAGCGTTTGCCAGGAACACCCTTGGACGACCACCTCATGACTCCCCTTCACCCAGGCCGACAGGGTTGTTTTGCATTCGTGTTGTATTATTTGGCGTGACGCAATGTTTTCTTGTTTAGCAGGTCGAAGCGTGTCCGATTGCATTGAATTGCAATGTCTCGCATTGCATGATGTCGTTGCTTGTCGCTGTTCGGCGCCATGCGTTAGACCGTTTGTACGCATCGTCACATTGCATTGCATGTGTGTTGCATTGATGCCACGCATTGGAATGCATGATACCCCACAGTTGTGCAAAGCCATAGTGTTCATTACATTGCATGTGTTTGGAATATGTTGGCTTCGTAGCACGTGCGTCTGAAGTGCAAAAGCAAAACAACTCGGATCAACGCAGTCAAAAGCCAGAAATTAGACAGCAGCGCAAAGGGTCAGCATAGTCGCTTTTTTTTATTGTTTGGCCGATCGGCGCGGGCCCTCGCACCCCCCCCTCCCCCCCATGGGGAAGATCTTGGCTGTTTTTGGCGCCTGTTTCAATCAGGTTGAGTAAGCACGGGGGCCCCGCCTCCCCAAAGGATTCCCCAGAGGAACACTGTGCCAAGCAGTCGCACTAAGCAGAAGTCCAGAGCTAGACCCCCCCTCCCCCCCCTTCCGCCCAATGTTGAAACGCCTGATAAGAAAACGCTCACATATCTGCTTGCACCCTGAAAAAAGTGACATTCGCATCAGTGATTTGGAATTCCATGGCACAGCAAGACAAGAACAAGCAATAATGAGTACTTGAATGAATTGTTGACGCTTCGCGTATCCCCACCAGTGCATTCTGCTTATTGCATGTGCACGTTCGCTTTCTTGCGGATTTTTACTGCAGGTGCATTGCCTGTTGTAGTTAATTAGCTTCGCCTGCTGGCCCAGACGACGCCTACCGCTCCCTGTCCGCCGCCTCGGAGCCGCCGACCAAAAAGTATCCCCACCAGCCCGCGCCACTGCGGCTGCGCCCCAACTTCGGTTGGCTAATTGCAGACGCGCGCTCCTGAACCTGGTTCCTGGCAGCTGCAGCCCGCACCCCCTCCGCTCCGGTGATCTGAGGTGTCGCCTAGGCCTCTGCTTGCTAGCGCGTTAGGCAATTAGGTTCGCGCGCGGCCCGCTCGTTCCGTTACTCGCCGCCTGCGCTTTCGCTTGCGTCTGCGACAAAATATCCCCACGAGCCCCCGCCCCCGCCCCCGCCGTCTGGGGGTCCTCTGGCCCGCCCGCTGGAGGGCGCGGAACGGCCGCAGCCCGGCCAACCCCGCTTCCTCGCACTGCACCTCTCCACCGCATTGCCAACTACGCGTTCTACTATCTGGGGAACTGGAGGCCGCTTGTCTCCTCGGCGTCCGCTTGGCGCGACCTCCTCGCGTTGCCCACGCCGGTCCCCCGGTGTCGTTCGCGCTGCTCCTACGGGGTTGCCTGGTCGCTTCTCTATGTCTGTCTGGCCGAATTCGGCCGAAGTCTTCATGGACGTCGAGCTCGACATGCATGCCTGGGGAATTGAACGGCGGTCTCTTTCGCCCTGTGTGTCACCGCTGTTCTGGTTAAGTGAGGCGTTCTCTCCGCGGTCGCAGTGGAGTAGCCGTCCACTGGCGTGCATCGACTTGTTTACTTGGTGAAGCACCTGCATCCTTATCGACACTTGGTGGACGTGATCCCGGTGCCGCTTTGCGGCGCCATCCGCGCCATTTTGGCAGCATTGAGCCACGTCCCGCTCTGAGCCAGACGCTGCTCGCCTGTTTGTTCTTCCCTTATCGCCTTCGGCCGCCTCTGTGAGTCTCGCTCTTCACCGGGCGTCGCTCATTGCTTTGTTTTTTACGCAGGAGGCACAGCATTCTCATGCCTGCTCGGCGTCCGACCCGCCTCGTGCGCCCGCGAACCAAAAATATCCCCACCAGCCCATCCAGAAGCGATGCCCATGATCAGGGAAATGGGGGGGCATGGAGAAGAACAAAAGGCGGGGGAAGCCGTCAGATACCCCAAGAGGGGGATGATGCAAAACGAACCGTCGTCGTCGCTGGAGGAGGAGGAGGAAGAGGAGGAGGAGGAGGGGGGAGCACGAGGAGGACGAGAAGGATGAGACGGAGGAACAGGAGGGAGAGCTGGGTTCCTCTAGGGTCGTCTTGAGGCCTCGTATGGGGTCTCTCAGGGGCCTCTTGGAGGCTTCTTGGGGCTGCCTGGGCGTCTCTTGGGGCCCTCTTGGGACGCTCTTGGGATCTTCAGGGGCGCTCTTGGGGCCATCTAGGAGGACATCGATCAAAAAAGAGGGGAGTGCCAATTGTTCCCCTCCCTTTCGGGAGCATCGACAATCGCCTTTTGGACTCCTCTTGGAGCGCTCTTGGGGCGTTCTGGGTGTTTTGGGGGCCGTCTTGGGGTTCTCTTGGGCCTCTTTTGGAGCTCTCTTTGGCCATCTTGGAGCCATCTTAGGCATCAGATGGCCATCAGAAAGCGAAAAGGCGAGAAAACAACAATCATTAATGCCATTCGGTGTTTTACAAGTTTGGCCTCTTGGGAAACTCTGTGGAGGTTTCGGAGGCCTCTGGGAGCCGTCATGGAGCGTTCTTGGGGTATCTTGGGAGCCATCTTGAAGCATCGTGCGCTATTTTGAGCCATCGTGGAGCTCATCGTGGGCGTTCCGAGGCGCTCTCGGAACCGTCTTCGGCCATTTTGGACGCTCCAACTACCCGCGTCCAGGAGGAGGGGGTATGGAGGGAGGGGTAATCCCCTCCCCGAAGGGGCAGGAGGGGGTTGGACAAGGAGCCTCCCTGTACCACCTGCGCCCAGAGGGTTGGTGGGATTGGTCTGAGATTTCACGTTCTCGCCACCATCACGTAATATTTAGCGTGTGTTCGGCCTGCCTTCCGGAAGAATTGATTTAATCGCTGTGCTCATTCCGCTGGCTCATATTGTCGCACCGTTATCGGTTGCCCGAGAGATCGTTGTCAATGCGGTGCAGCTGGGCGGGGGCTGTTCCCCTGAGGTGTGCGTGGGGGGTGTTGGAGGTGACGCAGTGGCTGGAGCCGGCTTCGGGGGTTCGTCGCAGACTCCCGCAGATGGTCTGGGCAATCGTTTTTAGCAGGCGCGTTGGGGTTTCTGGGGAGGCCTCGTGACGACATTTGGGGGCCTCTTGGGAGCTTCTCGGAGCTTCCTGAGGGCCTTTGGAGGGCCTCTTGGAGCTTCGTGGGGGCCTCTTGGGGCCTCCTGGGAGCATCTTGGGGCAGAAAGCTCAAAGTGCCCGTTCGGGTTCACAATCTCGGCCCTCTTTTGGAGCCGTCTTGGAGGCCTTTGGGCCCGTCTTGGAGGCCGCCTGGGCGGTCTTGGAGCCCTCTCGGGCAGTTTCGGGGCACTCTTCGAGAGGAGCTCTTGAGTCGTCTTGGGGCGGTCTTGGGAAGGGTTTGGGCCGTCTGGGAGCGTCGGAAAGCTCAAAAGGCGAGCACGCCGAAAGCCTCTTATAGGCCCCTTAGGGCGTGTTGGGGGCATCTTGGGCCAGCTTGAGGCCATCTGCAGCCGTCTTGGAACGCTCTTGGCCTCAGGCCGTGGGGACTGCCACCTAGTTTGGCGGCTGCTTGAGCCGCTTCTGGATCGCTCCCGAGGCCCCGGGGCCGCGGCCAAGAGATCCGGCACCTCTGATGGAACCCGGCCGGGAATATGCCGGGACCTTCCCAGGGTGCTTCTCGTTCTGGGACCCCCAGGGGCCGTCACGCTCGCGCGAGTTTGCGTATTGTTAACTTGTTACCAGATTTTAGAACGCCTCTGGTTCGTTGGGCCGGCGGACATCCCTATCTGAGGTCGTCCTTCGTTCCTTCCATGACTTGCTAACGGCAGCATGCGTTTGTGATCACGTGTGTTGAACAGCCTCCTAACGTTATGATGTTCCAACCTACTTTAGTCTTGACTACCAGAAAGAATTTCGAGCGCCAGAAAAAAAGTACCCAACAACTCAAGGGTTTTCACGTGCCGGGCCCTGGGAGACACTCGCCCGACATTGTTTCGACTCTGTTTCGACACTCTTTTGACACTTTTCCCGGGTGCTCGAAATCATTTCTTGGATGTTGTCTTTACGTAGGATGGGAATGAACAAAATAATCCGAACGATTAGCCAAGAGGCGGAGGAAGGGACATCTGACCAGCACGAGATGAGTACGTGGGTCGCCGTGTGTTCGTTGACGGGCTGCGTTGTCCGAGAGAGGATTTCATGATGCTGTTTCCGGATGCGTCAAGCACGCATGGCGAGATGGGCACCGCAAGCTAACGATCTAATGTCGGGGGCGGAAAAGAGGGGGGTGATGACTCGGGGGGGGTGGATATCATGGCGTGGGCCATGATATTTCCCCAGATTTCATGGCGCCTCTTCTTATTTCATTACGTCCCTGGCCCCCCCGCTGGGCCGCGCACATGCCGCCGGTCATGATTTGCACCCCCCCTCTTGGACACCCCCCTCATGGCCGCTCCCGATAATTTATCAAGCAGCACAAGTGCCACGCTTCAGACCTCGCGAGCCGACTACCCACTGGTCAGGACACAGACCATTCCGGGTATCGTGCCTAACCGGTGCTTGGGCAAGGGGAGGACAGCCGCTGCAGCCGCTGCCGCGGCCGCAGAGGCCGAAGGTGCAGAGGCCGAAGGTGGTCCCCGGCAGTCCGAGAAGGCCGAGGCGTCCGGTTGCGATTGCTCTTGTCTTCTTCGGTGTTCAGGCAGGCGGAGTCTTAGTCAGGCGGTCTTTCGCTGCGAGTGGCACCAGCACAGCCGCCCAGTCTTGCGGGCGAGGCGTTCCGTTTCGGGCGATGTGCCCTTTGCATCCTCACTGCAGCTTTGTTGTGTTCCATCCATGCTGGGCCTACGACGTTGTGCTCCGATTGGGATTGAGAGGCATCTCGGGATCTTGTACGTGCTAGGGCCGTGCCAGGTCCCTGTCATGGGTTTCAACTCCTCCAGGGCGGGGCAACGTCCCAAGCCCCAACCCCTCGCTTTTCCTCGCAAGGGACTCGCAGGGTCAGAACTCCCCTCCCTCTCTGACCGCCGCCGGGCACGATGCATTCGAAGCACCACCCGAACACACTTGCACCTTGTGTGCGCCGGCCCCCCAGGGGCAACGCACGCGCTCAGAAATGTCGTGGTGCATGCTCAGCGGCGGGCAGCTGGGCTTGATCCTCCGTCTCCTCCGCGTCCTCCGACTCCAGCTTCACTCAGAGGCGACGATGGGGGCGAACAGCCCAGGGGAGAGCAATACATGTGCTCAGGTGCGCCGATGATCTATGTCTTCGAAAAGGCTCCCGGGCGAATACGTGTAATGCCCGCCCCTAGGCTATTCGCCCCCATCTCGGGGAAACTTAAGACTCGAGTACGCCGGGACTCGGGCTAGCCGACGTGTTTTGACGAGCGCGTCCTGGAGTTTGACGGGCCTGCCTTCGTGGGACGTCCGCAGCAGGAGCTCGCGCCAAATGCCAGACCGGGTCTCGTCATTTTCAGGATGGCCCCGTCAGGCCAACCCGGGTCCCCCGCACGAAGGATTGCAACAAAAACCGAAGGATTGCAACAAAAACCGAAGGATTGCAACAAAAACCGAAGGGTTTTTGTTGCAATCCTTGGTTTTTGTTGCAATCCTTGGTTTTTGTTGCAATCCTTCGGTTTTTGTTGCAATCCTTCAGTCTGACGTCTCCCCGACGATCGTCGCCGCCGATGCACGCCCTCGGCTCCGAGGAGGTCGAAGTCGTCGCCGAACTCCGCGCTCGGGCGCGCACCTCCGAGGGGGGGCGCGCGCGGCGCTCCTCGGCAGCGCGCTCCTCCCCGCGGCCCTCAAGGGCGGGACGCGCCGCCTCTCCGTGGGCCAGGCCGCAGGAGGCTCGTGCCGCGCCGCCTCCGCGAGGGGGCCACCTGCGAACCCTACCCCTGAGCCCCCCGCGAGTTCTGAGGGGGAGAGGGGGGGGGCTCACTCCGCTCGGGAGCTCCCGAGCGAAGTGAACCCCACCCCCTCCCCCTCAGAAGTCGTGGGGGGCAGGGGTCTTAGTGGGCCCCGGAAACGGCAGGGCCGTTTTATCACCGCTTCCGAAAAAGTGGCCCTTGAAAATGGGAACGGCAACGAAAAACGGCGACCAGAAACGGCAACAAAAACGGCTCCAGGAGTGGAACCGGAGCGGGAACCCGTACAAGAACGGCGACGGAACCGGCAAACAAAAACGGCGTCGGAACCGGCAAAACAAACGGCAGAACGGAACCGGTAAACAAAAACGGCCCTGTCGTTTCCAGGGCCCACTAATAAGACAGGGCTAGGATCGGGATAAATCGCTCCAGAGCGTTCCGGAGCGCTCTCAGAGCGTTCCGGAACGCTCTGGAGCGGCCGCGGCGCCCAATACATCCTCCACACCCGCCGATTCTCAGAGATTTCGAGTCATCCCGATCCGATGTTGTCCCGATCTTCGCGTCGTTTTAACTCAGGGTAGGGGTGGGGTTCGCATGTGGCCCCCCATCCCCGCGGCACATGGGCCACCGCGCCGGCCCCCCCGAGATGCCCTCCCCGACGGCGGGCGCCGCCGGGCCCGCGCAGCGGCCCGCGCAGCGGCCGCCGCGGAGCGCGGCGGCAGCGGCCGGGGGCGGAGGCGCGCAGGCGTCCGAGGCACCGGCGGGGCTCGACCGTTCGCGGAGGGGGCGTTGCAGCAGCTGCTCGCGGGCTCCTTTCTTCGAGGCTTCCAGGCGCTCCCCCAGAGATCCGACGTCGTGATTTCTCCTGTACGGGGTCCCGGGAAGTCTCGACCGACTCCCCAGGACCAGGGCTCCTCGGGCTCTCCCCCCGATCGCCGCTAGCGCGGTGCGATGCGAGCGGCCCGCGCCCCTGGGTTTGGCTCCCTCGCGCCCCCAAAAGTCCGGCATTCCTCGATACATCGTCGCCTCCGGCGCCGGGAGGCGCCGGGAAAATCAGCTACGTGAGCTGATTCTCAAACCCCCCTTTTGCTATCCCCCCCTTTCGCCCGACCCGAAAAAGCTGCGCACCAGAGGTCACTCGCACCCAGAGGTCACTCGAGTGTGCGTGTCGCCACACGTGCCCGGGTCGTCCCGGGCGGCCGCCGGAGGCCCGAGGTCTGGCCCGGAGGCCGGGCGGCTCGGTCAGCGGCGGCGGGCGCGCCGCCGACCGCCGCGCCAGGGCTCGCGAGCAGTGGCGAAGCGGCCTGGCTCGCCTATAGCCTTGGCACCGCTCGGGCGTGTGCATTGTTTCTCGGCGAGGACCATCCTGGACCATCGAACAAAACAAAAACACGCACGACACCGAAGAATGCACGGGAAATGGACGTCCGAGCGACGGCAAGTAGCCCTACCAAACCAGGTTCTAAGAACCTTTTTCAGGGGTGGACAGAACCCCCAACAGTGACACGTCGATTCGTGAATTGTCCGTTTTCGGTTCTCGAGGGGGCGCCGTGGCCGTCATTTTCCAGGCTTGCGCCCGCCAGGTTTGGGCCTCAGGTCGTTTTCACTAAACCACGTTTTACTAAAGGGAGGTCTGTCCATCCCCGACTTTTGTGGTGTCCACGAAATGTTTTCAGGACATGTCTGGCGGAGTCTTGTCTTGCTTGAACACGTCGGGTTTCTGTTCTAAGAACATGGTTTTTGTTCTTATAGAGCCCTTCTGGGTTCTAAGAGCATTTCGTGGTAGGACTATGGGAATGCCGGGACGGTCGGTCCCTGCTCAAATAGCCGCGAGATTTGGTGTGTCGCCGAGCGCGTTCCACGACTCGCAAGGTCGGAAACTGGAGCATATACATCACCAGTGGCGGGTTGCTTTTCAATCCCCAGACTTTTTGAGGGCCGGGGGCGACGTCGGGGTGGCGTGGTGTATACTTGCGCCCCCATGTTCCTCGGGAAAACATCGACAACATGTATGCACCAGGATCCCGTACACACCAGGATCTGGCTTCCTGGGCAAATTCTAGTGCATGGCAGGACAAAGCGGCGGTGTACGGAGCTCGGTCCCCTACGAGGCGCCTTGGCTCGCAAACGTCCGGAAAAAAGCATGTTCTCCTCGGTGTGTGACCGTAAATCCCTCGCGGCGGATCCGGGCCACTTGCGAAGCGCGTCGTGGAACGCGCTTGTCCAGATGTGGCCCTGGGCGTGGGCCTCCCGAGGCCCCTCGGCGCCCCGTGGCTCGAGAGGCCGTCTTTCTGGGGAGGACAAAGCCACCCGGAGCGGACCATTGGCGTTTACTGAGCGGCCCGGGCCGTTTACGAAACAGCCCTGCCCTGCCTGATTCCTTTTTGGGGGGCGCGTCTGCTCAGCGACTTCGCGTGTCGAAGCGGTTATTCTGGAGGGTGATGTTTGGACCTCCAGTCTTTCCTTCTCCCCGCGCAGTGCTTGCACTCAGGGGCTCTCCCACTTGCTTGCGCTGCGACGATCCTCGGGGCGTGTGTGTCGGCCCAGTGTGCCTTTTACTGTAGGCTCATGCGGCGATGGCGCGCCAGCGACGCTGGCGAAGATGTTCAAGGTTGAGTTCTGCGACGCGGAAGCACCGAGGCCGACCAGCCATAATTGGGGGAGTTGTGGTCCTTATCCCCCTGGGGGAACCCATCGCATCGACGATTTCTCCAGAGGGGTGTCGAAATCGATGGGTCCCCCAGGGGGGTGAGGACCACAGCTCCCCCAGTTGTGGCTGGCCTGCGAGGGACACGGTGACGCCAAGGGGCCCGAGGGAATTTCGCCTTGAACGATCAGGGCCGCGACCGATCCCAGGCTGAGCGATCGACGTGGCTTCAAAAACCTCTGCGCGCGCCGACGCCGCCCCCCGAACCTGCCGTGCCCCGTGGCGCGCGAGAATGTTCATGGCTCTCCTGCTTACCTGCGCTGCGACGATCCTCAGGGCTTGCGTGTGTGTGTGTGTGTGTGTGTGTGTGTGTGTGTGTCTGTGTGTGTGTGTGTGTGTGTGTGTGTGTGTGTGTCTGTGTCTGTGTCTGTGTCTGTGTCTGTGTCTGTGTATGTGTCTGTGTCTGTGTCTGTGTCTGTGTCTGTGTCTGTGTCTGTATCTGTGTCTGTGTCTGTGTGTGTCTGTGTCTGTGTCTGTGTCGGTGTCTCTGTCTCTTCGTTTTCACTAAACCACGTCTTACTAAAGGGAGGTTTCTTCATCCCCGAACAATGATCCATAGTCAAATAAATGTTCCAAACATGCTACAGAGTATTCAAACAGTAGTCCCCATATTCTTTTTTGTCTATTATTCGAATGGTCCTCCTGTAGAGGTACAGGCCCGACTTAACATCAGGTCGGGCATGTCCCCCTACAGGAGGAATTTCAAAAATAATAAAACAGATAGTCATGGGACTGTGTTTCTAGTATTGTTTGACTATGTTGGTGTATGTTTGGACTAGTTTCTATATTTCGCCGAAAATCCACCTGTAAGAGGGCATGCCCGACCTAAGTCTGCCACTCTTGCGGTTGCTGGCAGAGCAGGTGCGTTTCCCGTGCAGCTCTTCCGAGAGCACGAAGTTATTGTCGGCCTTACGTGCGCTGCCTGCGTCGTATGGAAGGGCCTCACTGGACAAGCACGCGTTGGCGCTGCCGCATGTTCCGAGCATCACTGGTCAGCGTGTCGGGGGATCGGCTGGTGTCCGGTAAGTGCCGCCTTCGCTGCAGCCTCGTGCGCTGGGAGTGGGTGTGTCGAGGCGTCGGCTGGTGCCTGGTGGGTGCAGCCTCGTCGCCGCCCTGTTGCAACCCTTCTCGCCACCAAGCGATGTGGCGGCCACATGGCTCGCACCGCATAGTCGGTTCGCGCAGCCACAGGACAAGAAGCATGTGCGGTGTCGGGCCCACGCCAGCAAACATGTGCTTATGCTGCGAACTTCGGAGTCATCCCCCGGGGGCCCGAGGCCGCCCTCTGGAGGCCTCAGGGGTAATATCTCGGGGGGCCCCAAAAGGTGCTGTGACCAGACCGTGTGGTGAGTCAGTGGGGATATCGGGGTGGCCGCACGGTTTGGGCACTTGGGTCGTTCTCCGAGGATTTCTCGGGCGGCTGGGGCATCCAGGGTCCCAAAACCCTCTGTTGACGGACCGTGCTGTGAGGTCTGTGGGGATTCGGAGGTTGCCGCACGGTCTGCCACCG